ACATTACTCACCTGACTTGAACCCAACTAAGCACATGTGAGATGCCTTATGGCCCCAAACTTCAGCATGGCAAATTTCTCACCTGACCCTCCATGAGCTGAAAGTGGTGTGCAATTCCCCAAGACTTAATCGACCCTTTGATAAAGTCACTGAAATCAAGATGTGAACTATGCATATCAGTTCGAGGTAACCATATACCATATTAAAGAAAAAATGAGAGAGAGAAGACTTAATTTTCCCATCATTTCCCAATTCCTATAAATTTGGTTTTAATTTCAATATTTTGTGATTAATCAATGAATAATTACAATGTTGCAATGGAACATTGTAATTTATGTAATTATAAATTACATTGTAATTGATGATTACTTTTTAGCTATTCTTTTTTGCTAATTTTATATACCATTAGCTACATCTGTTTTTATGCATTCTGCAATATTTATTTAAATTCACATTAGAAAGGAAATTTTAAAACAATGTACATTAGTTCATTGCATTTCTCTTTTTGTGTGTGTGTGTGTTATGTGTGTGTAGTTAATTGATTTCTGCAGTGAACAACTCATATATGGGCATGCAGTCACAAAAAAAGGCCTGCTCTTTAAATCAAAAAGTATCTTTACTTTCCTTTCATTCAATTTGGCATGCAACTATTACACTTTTGATGGAACAGACATCAGATTGACTTATGCACCTTCTTCAAAAATTGTTGATGGTTTTATGAAACTAATAAACAATTCATTAAAAGTTCAGAGTTTTTTGTAGAGGAATAATTTATTAATTAACAAGCTGTAAATTGTTGCAATTCATGATCCCTCATCACCAAAAGTTCAGATCATTTGATCAATACACTATTGGTTGGTTCAGTATTGTCAAAAGAAATAAATTACAGATGAAAAATTCTTTTGACACAAATCTGTTTAGTCACTGTTTTAGTAACTTTAAAATGATGTCATTAAAAAGAATTTACCATATTTTCCATATTTTAACATCCAATGCTCATAAAAAAATCTGTTTTCTAATTCTGTACTGAAAGCTATTATTTTTGGTACTACCAGACTCCAAAACTTAAATCTGAATCTCACAACATGGAATCAGAGTGAAAATTGAAATACTGTCAGTTCTTGTGTAGCACACATAAACAAAAGATGTGCTGAGATTTTTCACTTGGTTTATGAATTAAATGTTTTTAATAATTTAATTTTTAAGTAAATTTAGAAGCAATAAAAATACTAAAAATCTTTTAGAGATTTAAAAACTTTTCACTGGTACTTTGGCAGTTTGGATTTCACTCTGCATCAGAAATGGAAAAATATCTATTTTTGATGTACTTGATTAAGAAGAGGCTTCAAATGATGCAGCTTTTGGGTGGCTATCAAATTAATATTATAGCGCATGCTGTAATAAGTCATACATAAGTATACATTTTCAAATCTGACCATTAAGATAAGAAACAAAACTAATTTCATTTTGAAGTTTCATAACATTCATCACAGCTCATTTATATTAATGCATAATGCCTTTCTTGAACACATTAAAAAATTTTTGAAATAATAAAATTTTTATTTTGTAATAATTAACTGCATTAAATCCACTAATTAATTTTTGTATTTTTGCTTCATGCTTGATGAATATACTGAAATTCACTCATTTGCTGAATCCATTATGGAAACTCCAACAAAACATTTCTTAAAAGTAAAAGTAAAAAAAAAAAAAAAAGTCTTAGAATCATAAGTATAATTTTTTGTCATACTTTAAATTCTCAAATGCATATAAAGATCAGAATTTGAATTTTCATTCAAAACTCTGATATTGTTGCATATGCAGATACTAAGTAGCAATTTAATTATTACCCTTTCAAACTTCAAATACCTAAATCATTTACAACATGGTCTCTTAAAAATCAAATTCATATATATATATACACAAACAACATAAACAAAAGAAAAGGTCTGTTATTGAATCCTGTGCCTAGGCTGTAGTGATTTAATTAAACACAACCAAATGAATGAAAGGGAATACTTCTATTAACATTCAAATACAGTAAAAATGAATGCCAAAAAAATAAAACTAAGAATTATAATTTCTGAAGACTACATTAAATTCCAATCTGCAAAGTCGTAATAGAAAAGGTAAAGAAAAATTAATTTTATAAAATCCAAAAGGTAAAATTATTTTGAAAAGAAGTATGTAAAAAAAGAAAAGTGACATATGGACAAAATGCCATACAAGTACTAGCTAATAGTAGAGGAAAGTATATAAATTGAGATGCAAAAATTGCAAATAAAAATTACAGCAATATCAAAGAAATGACCAAAAAATGAACAATTGAAAAGACAGTGAAATAATCCTGACTCTTCAGGGGAAATTACTTTTTTTTACACTATTCCCTATTGCTCAAACATCGTGTTTCATCTTTGCCATACATATGTAAATTAAAAATTATTATACTTAAATATTCAATTATTGACACATATATATCCGAAATGATCTAAAATCCGGACCTCAAAGCCACCACCAACTTTTTAAAAATTTTCTTTTATTCATTTGTGTGTGTGCTTTACGCATGCGTATTTGATCACCCCCCTTCCCCGCATAATAAAACATGTAGAGAGTCACGATTCTCGATTTCACTTTGGCACTAAATAAAATACAATGTTGTTGAAGAAACAATCATTTTAGCATAAATTTGTATGATCCATAGCTGTGTATTTGGCTCCATAGCTGTGTATCTACTTGTTACATCTCAAACCAAAACATTCTACACAGAAACATCCTTGATTTTACACCTACTAATATGCCTGATGCCAACCTGGCGAATCATTATTTATTACATTTTGCTTTCATGACCGCATGTTTATCAACAACAACTCGGGTAATGACTCATGTAACGATATCTAAACAATTTTTTTATATTAGGAATTGAATAACAAAGAGTACAGTAACCTTTTATGTTGACATTGTGCTTGGCGATGATTACAGATTTAAGTTACAGAAACGTTGACAGAAAAAATTTAACAGAAATATCTTTTCATATGCTAAAAATACATTTTTCTAATGATACTCATAGGCCAAAAGAATACATTTAGTGCTATTTGAATTGAGAATAACTGATTTGTTATTCGCATAAACCCAGAACGAGCAGTAGAGCTCCTATGGCAGCATCGAGCGGCAGAATTTAGGGAAGACAAAGGATGGTGCTTGGTAGCATAATTTAGGATCCACAGAGACTGCATCCGGCGGTAGGATTTCTAATGCAGGCCCTCAATAAACCTTAAGTATATGTGAGAAAATATTACACTATGCACATGTTTAGACTCAGATAAGCCTTAAACATGTGCAAGAAATAGGCGTAAGTATAATAAACAATTCAGGCTTAATTGTCTCAGTGCGCAATAGGAACAAGATAAAATTTAGTGGAACAACTTGTCTTTAATCGCCAATCTCATGATACATAGCCAAATATGTACAGTGAACGATAGCTATTATGATGATAGCCGCGAATCTGAAGGTTTTTGGATATCGCAAACAAGGTTAAATTTTCTAATTAACGAATTTTGTAGAGAAATATGGAGAAGCGGTAATAAATAAAGGAGGATGATATAAAAGGAGTTTTTCATTATGAAGACAATGCTCCTCGTTCATCAATCAACGAATGGCAAAATTCGTAATATGGTTCTAGATCCATAAAATACCGCTACTGATAGTGAAGAAAGTGAACAGGGAGAATGAAAACAGTTTTATTAACAAGTTAGTTGGAATCCTAGACACAGAAATTACAGGCCTTCAACAATGGAACTTTGTAACTGAACAAATTATGTGTCTAAAGAATTAAAGAGAAAGTAATGGCACAAAAAATGAAGCAACTTAAAAAACTTGAAAGAAATGTTTAATAAAGTAGACAAATAAATATTAAGCCCACCAGCGGCTGAGCGGTAAAAGCTGCTGAACACTGGTAGTTCGTTCGGGGAACGGGCTGGCTGCATGGGCGTTTTCGTGGTTTTCCCCATGTGTAATGTGGATACGAGCCAGTTTCCCTTAAAAAGACCTCCACGAGGCATCCCTCCCTTTCCGTGTAGTGCCCAAGGGCAAAGCACTTAATAAGAGATAAAAAAAAATAAAAAAAAAATTAAAACGTGGTTTTCTAAATTGTGATATCCTTTAGATCATAAATGCTTAATTATTTCATAAATTAAGATTTTATGTTTTTTATTTTATTATTTCTACATGCCGTCTTACTAGATTTAAACTGATGATCTAATATCCAGAAAAATCCCAATCAATTAAGTCCCGACGAGTACAGATCTTGGACTTTGTACTGTAATAACTTTTAATTTACACTATGCATATTTACATATACATGGGAAGGACAAAACAAGATGTCTGAATAGTTGGGAAGAGTGTGAAATAAGCTAATTCCCCCTGAAGAGTCGAGTGTTATTTCCCAGTCTTTTTAACTGTTCATTTTTCAGTCATTTCTTTGATATTGCTATAATTCTTATTTGCAACTTTTGCATCTCAATTTATATACTTTTCCACTACTATTAGCTAGTGCTATTAACATCTAATTCTTACATAGAAATTAAATTTATTCATTTGGTTACATTTAATATTTGAATAGCAATTTCATAAATATCTTAAAACTATTATGCATTCAATTCATAATTTGGAAGAAAAAATACTTACTATGCAATTGAAGAAAGATTAAATAAATAAATCTGAACAGTGATTAAATAAATAAATTTGAATATAAAGATACAATTCTTTCACAATGCTTAGATTTATATGAACACACATATACCTATTCAATCCTGTGATGGAATGAATAAATTCTAATAAATGTACACTTTACTCACATCATTTCTTATTAAATTTTAAAACGAACAACAAAAGATTATTGCTTTCTAAAAGACACTATATTTTGGCATTAGAACATAAAAGACAAGAACCACACTTAAATCACATGATTTGTTAAAATTATGTTATGTAAAATAGAAATGTACCTCTGGAAGTGGTCCTTGATTAACATTCCAAAATTTAGCCAATGGACTTAAAAGTACTGGATTAACTTGTTCTTTTCCTAAAAAGAAAATTAATTTAAATGTGATATGAATATTAATTACCAGAATATGAATTCTAGTCATTGTATATGTTTTTCATACATAACAAAATAATAAAAAAAAAATTAGTGAAACTACTCACACAATACCTGCTATTTTATATCAATAGATATTTAAAAGGAAAAGGAAAATTAATTCAACTTTCATCAGGCTTCCAATAAAATTTTTACATAAAAATGTATATGGACAAAAGTTAAACTATGGGAAATCTTACTCTCTTTGGAATCTTGAGAGATAACATGAGATCTACATACTTAAATGCATCTAATTTTTATTTTAATGTTCAAATGCAAAATATAAACCAAAAATTAGATTTCCATTAAACATACAACTTAATGGCAAGAACACCATTTTTTTTTTTATCCTATCTAACTCCGACAAATTCTTAAAATAATATAATTACTGTACAGCTGAGCATCAATGGTCACATGGGGGGAAATTTTTAAAAAGAAACAAATTGGTCAAAAGGGGAAAAATTTTAAAATAGAAACAAAACTTAAGTAAATTGCTGCCAAAGTATGAAAAGGGTTCACAACTCAATCTGTACCATTATGCAAGGGTTTTAATCTGCTATTCTGGTTAATAAAGCAAGCAAAAAAATCCAATTTGCATAGCTATGTCCCAACATACTTCAGAAATGCTTGTGAAGATTTCAGTTTTACCAAATATGGTTCAGTCTGCATAAAGGTGACAGCACCTTTATGAAAGGAAAATGTTACACAATAGTACTTTTCTAACAAATCTTCATAAAACAATCTTTCTCTATCTTTTGAAGTCTTCATTAGTCAGTTTTGAAGTCTTCATTAGTCACTGAAGTCTTTTGATGTTGGTAAACAATTGGATTAAAATTATTCTCTATTACTATTTGTCATGATGAAACTCATAGAACTAGTGGTGTGCTCTCAACAGTGGCATAGCAAGGGAGGGCATGACAGTTTATCATGCCCCAGGCATGACTTGAAGAAGGATGCCAAATGGTTCCCAGAAAAGAACTGTCTCATTATTACAAATTCAAAACAAATTTATTCATCTATTGGCATCAACAGCTCAAAATCAACTAATAAGTGACATCAAAAGAAATGAATATTGTAGATATTCAACTCCTGATATTGTTCATTAAGAATAAATGTTGCAAGTCTTTCAGCATGTAGACGTTGATTTTATTAACAGAAAAATTTCTGTCAAAGAACCTTTTTTTGGGATTTATTGAAATACGTGCTGAAGATGCAGCCTCAATTTAAAATATAATTTTTAAAAAAAATTAAAGTATAATGAGATTTCATTAATAAACTGTAGATCACAGTGTTATGTTAATGCAGCCATGATGTCAGGTTACATATCTAGCATTCAATAAAATATTATACAAAAAAATAATAAAGTATTATTTGTAAACTGTGATAACCACTCTTCAAATTTTGTAAGAGTTACTGCAGTTAAGCAAGATCCAATCTTTATAATATGTTTGGGAATAATTGAAAACATATATCTCTTTTTTTTTTTTTCTCATTCAACATTAAGACAAGAATTATTAAAAAACCCTTTAAAGATAACTGTTAAACATGAATCTGAAACACAATGGAGCACCAGAGGACAAGCAATTAGTGTTAGTATCTGGAAGAATTAGAACTATTAGAAAAATTAGCAGAGAACACACAGCACAAGTAACACCAGAAGTGAAGCTATAATTTTATTGTAAAATGCACTGAATTTTAATTTCATAATTTTAGTCCACTTTTGGCATGAAATCTTGAGCAGAAATGATACCGTGTGCAGCTCAAATTACAAGATCCTAAAATGAATTTTAGAGAAGTGTTCTATAATCTTGAATCAATAGCAAATGAATTTGAAGTAATTCGAGATAAGATCTGTAAAGGAGCAATAGAAAAGGCAAAGCCTCTTTGTGAAAAATGGGATAATAATATAACAACCCATGTTAGAAGATGCCAAAAAATGCCCGGAGAATCGACTGGAGATGTTGGCCTTTCTGCAGATTTTGAAATTTCTCGCATTACGGAAAGCATTCTTGATCCTCTGTAGCAGGAAATAAGTACACAATTTACATGACTAAGTGATCTTAATTCCAAATTTAGATATTTACTGGACATTGAAAATTTATTAAACAAGGTTAATGCTGACAATGATATGGAAAAGATTTGTAAAAATTTTAATGAATTTTATAATACTGATTTTAATGGAACTATGCCAAAATATATGACTACAAGATATTATTCCATAACAGAAAAGAAACTGAACTGCATTAGAACTCCATTGGAGCTTCTAAGCTTTATAATCTTGCATGGAGACGATTTTCCAAACCTGAAAGTTGCACTTCAAATACTCTTTACTATTTCAGAATCAATTGCTAACTGTGAACGCTCGTTCAGCAAGCTAAAATTAATTTTGACACATCTACAAACTAGAACTCCATTACAACTTCTAACCTTTATAATCTTGTATGGAGAAGATTTTCCAAACCTGAGAGTATTACTTCAAATATTCCTTTCTATTTCAGTATAAACTGCTAGCAGTGAATTTTCATTCAGTGAATTAAAATTAATTTTGACATATCTATGATCAACGATGGGATGAAACTGCTAAGTGGCCTAGCATTTTTAAGTGTGGAAAGAGGAAAATTTGCAAAGATAGACTTTGATGAAGTGATAAATTTGCTAATAAGAAAAATGGATTCACAGTAATTATAATATTATATTATTAATAATAAATATATCTATTTATATAAAATACATATTAACTTTTTTCATTGTTTAGAAACTATCTTTTTTAAAACAATTTTATAAATATGTTTCCACTATGTTTGAAATCCAATCCTAGTCTTATCTTTATTAACTAGAATTTTAGTCTCAAATTTAATGCCTAACTTGAGCCTGTGTCCTTGTTTATCCCAAAAAACAGTATAGTATTTTGTAGAAGTGTAGATAGGTAGTGACTATTTGTTATATATTATAGAGTAATTTAAGTAGTATCTGCATCCTTTTATTATTTGCATTATATTCTTATTATGAGTACTATATGTTTTCTTGGGGAGCTCATCAAAAGGTATTGTGCTCCTGGTGCCGGTTATGTTTGCTATGCCCCTGGCTCTCAACGGAAGAGTGGTATTAGGTTAACATGCTAATATTTTACATGATAGAACTCAAACAAACTTTTACTTAAATTTAAAAAGCATTAAAAGGAATAACATTTTATCTTTCTTGAGAATACTCAAATGGAATTGCCCTTTGATTACATTTGGGTTTTTGTACAAATTGGATACTTTCAGATTACATTGCCTCTATGCCAGGATGGACAATCTAACTTTCACACCCAGTCATACACAACTGTCCACATAGTTACCTCAGGCATGCTGTTAAAGACTGGCAATAGGTCATAAGAAATTTTATCCAATTAATATGTAATTAATTGTAATTGAAATTAGACACTTTAGTTTTTAAATTAATTACACTTTTAGTGCTATATTTTAAATCATGTTCATGAATGTTTTCTTGTGATATCTTAAAAAAGTCAAAGATACTGATGCAAGTCAGCATCTCGGGCATCATTTCAAAGTGGAATATAATACAATTTTTACGGTATCTATCAGATTAAAAAATTATTTACTTATTAAGGCGCGAGTCCCATAATATTATTTGTACAAATTTATCATAGCATATTATGCATTTTGTACTTGTCTTTGCTATTATTCTATACGAGCTATTGTTTCTGAAAGTGGACAATATTTCTCAGAACATATATACACAAAGGTAGTGAACCTCACTTTCTGTAAAACAACACCAGACACTGAGAACCCAAAGGTATAAGTGGTTATCTTAGTCAGAATTACAATTTTTGTTTAAACCTAGTCAAACCCATGGCATGCTGCTGCAAAAAACTGTTCCCAGCTTCCAGTTTAACTCCTGTTTTAAAATCCCAAATATGTAGTAGCTCTATACTAAAGCTAGACACTTCCTTCAATGCGCTGAAACTAACTAAGCAATACACTATGCATACTTAGTTGACGAAGTCCACAAGTAAATGATTCCTTACATTTTCAATGCAAAGTTTTTCACGATAATTTTTTTCCTTTTTTAATAAGAAAAATTTAAAAATAAATTACAAGCAGATACAACTCTTATGCCACATATTAAATTGGCAAGCAATTCAGTTTTATGTGAAAACACTGAAAAATGCACTCATTTTTTCAAATTACGTTTAACATACTTCAATAAAAGATCCTCACATAAGAACAGATACTTGCTGTTTATCACAATTACTTTAATAGAAGTCACCAAATTTTCAGAATTTGCCAAACTTTGACAGCCATGGCAACCATGCCCCTAATAATCCTTCAATTAAGCAACATTGCCATTTTCACATACATCTTTTTGTTGCATTCTAAGTTCTAATGGTTCTAATGGTTCTTTGTAGACAAATCATGATATTTTTTGCCTTAAATTCAATTTTAAAATATATGCTTGTGGAATCTGCCAGCAAAGGAAGATACTATAGCAAAATTTCTGCAGAAAGAACACTTGGTGCAAAATCACCACTACAGAAAAATAATTAGATGTATTGGTAGATAAACAGCATGCAATGCCGAGACCGCACATGATGCCAAGTTAGTGCAAATCTGATTTTTTTAAAATCAAAAACAGATCACTGTGCACCTGGGGAGAAGAGGAGTGGAAAAAAACTTAATGAATTTCACAAAAAAGAAGCATTTTATTTGCTTAATTATCATATAATCCTTATTTAATAATTAAAATTTGCACTTTAAATTACTAAAGTGTGTTTTCTTTTGAAATGTTGATACGATTTGCCAGCTTATAGTAAATAGTAATATTTTTTTAATCTATTTTTTAAAACGGCACCAAAAATTGCCATTTTGTACCTTAAAAGTAACTTTTTTTTTCATCTGTAAAAAAAATCACTTAATTATGCCAAGGTGGTTGCATTAATACGCAAGTATAGAAAAAAGCTACCGTTTTACTAAGATGATACAAATGTTGCACTAAACAAAATATTGATGTGTCATCCTTCACTGAACTGAAATAGTGTTCAAGAAATTTAAGAAGGAATACTCTTCAAACAATACTTCAAAATAACGATAAAAATTTGCAGTTTTCTTCTTTAGATACCAAATTTAATATGAATAATTTAATTTCTCCTGATTAACTAATTGTTATTATTATTGGCTGTTGCTGCTGTTATTTTATACATGACCTAAAAAATATGCAATATATCTGTATATACTTTCACTTTTGAAAATACTTTACATAAATATGTTAAAAACCTGAAATAGTATATGAACATAAACATGCATAAACTTTTTCATATTCAAAGCACCCCCCCTCCACAAAGATAAGAGCAACAAATTTTAGTTTAGCATGGATATTCTCAATAAGCATCACATAAAAAAATATTAGCTACTATATTAATTAATAAATATTAACATACTAAATAGCAAGCTCACTCCTAGACCAACAATAATACAAGCTGACCATCCAATACCAGCATACCACATATAAGATACTTTGTACAAAGGAAGCACGTACCTGGATAAATAAGAAATGCAGTTAGAAACAGTATTAAAATTACAAATGTATAAAGGAAATACAGTAGGACCTTTGTTCCCAGCTACTTTGATAATACCAAACAATTACAAAAATTATCCTTCAACATAGCACTGAAATTCAGCTATTTTAAACTAAATGGTAATTTGAAACATTAAATACTCATAGCATTTTAATAATGGGAAAAAGATGTTATTAATTAAACTTCTGCAAGTGCCATGCAAAAGTTCATTTATGAACTATTCATATTGCCTCTGGGAATTATTCGGCCAATGCACCTGTAACTGTAATAAGTGATTATAATAACAAAAAACTTTAACATTAAATCTATGGCTAATACAGAAAGATCTATGTTTCATACTAAAAACATAAATCAATTTGATATAAAAATATAATAAATGTTTCAAAACCTCTGTTAAAAAGCATTTCACTATTTCAGCCATGCATGAATACTTAATTTGAACATGCACGCATGAATACCTAACCTTTTGTAAACCAATTAATCCTGCAAGTTTATGTCAATTACTCTTTCACATATAATTTTATTTACTTGCAAGATAATTTTATTTTAAAATAAACCCATACTTAAACTTTCACTTAAAAAAACACAATTCTCTTCAGAATTAATGCCAATCTAAGCTTGAATGCTTAATTTTTCAAATGGATAATTAAAATAAATGAATTCTGTATGATGATCTTCAATATAATAAAAAGTATTTTGAAAATTTTATTTAATTTAAATAAATTTTGGACGAAAACTAAGATCTACATTTTAAATATGTGACTTTGAATCACATGAATTTTAAAAAACGCATAATCAAAAATAAGAATCAGAGAAAAAAAAACTCAGATCATTTGACTGTTTGCAAATTTAATGCCACATATAACAATGATAAAATATAATTTCACATGCTATATAGTTTAACAATATGTTTTGTGTTAATGAACAGTTTCTATATCTTTTGTATATGTTAAAATATGAAGTTAAATACAGTATTTTTAAAATAAATTACATGAAAAATTTGTCATTAAAAAAATTTGCATAACTAAGGCTTGACTTACTCAGAGTCTTTATTTACAAATGTGACATTTTGAACAGAAGCAATAGTCCAGTTCTTTGATAGTGATTCAATTGAAATATTATACTGAAAATTTTCAGATTCAAGTATGGTATCATTAGACAGACAACTATCAGTGCTTCGATGATAGCTTAGAATCTTTTTGCTTTTCAGCATGCTTCCAAATCCAATCCAAAAACATAGACATAAAGCAAATAAAAACCCAGTCATAGAGCCCTAAATGAATAATTTCAATTAATTCATTAATTGGCTATGAAACTATTTAGAATTTTACTAAACGAAATATTAAATTATAGAAGACATACTTTTCTAATTAATCATAAAATTTGCTCTCTGAACTTTCAATTTAAAGTGAAACAATATAAAAATTTCAGAAATACAAAACATATGTTTAAGTATAAAAGAATACATTTTAAGAATTGTGTCTTTGATTGGAAGTAAAAGCACAAAATCGTTCCAAAAACACACACAAAACCGAATTTTTTAATATAATTTTTATTTAACAACACTTAGCATAGAATTTTCTTGTTGTTAAATAGATCTAAGTAAATGAAATAAATTAGGAAGCATGAACCTGATAAAATTATGCTTTCAGTCAGTAAAATTAAATTAAGCAGATGTTAAGACCTTTTTTTTTCTTTCAGAAGTTTAATAACTGAAAAGGCTATGAAGGCTGACTTATATGTAGAATGGTAATCATCTGCTTAAATCAAAAGAAAGAAAAAATTAGATAATCATCTAATCTTAATTAAAGAACTAAAAACTAGCATGATCATGTCAGTAGAAGAAATTTTACATAAAAAAAATAATTCCTTTTAAATACTATAATAAAAATAACTCCCATACTTGCTGCAACTAAAAAACACACACTTTTTATTTTACTCATGTTGAATAAGTATTAAAATATAAAACCTGTTTCCCCCAAGTATATAAATTTTGAAATGATGGCACCCGAAAAGAAAGAAAATTTTAACTAAAAACGAGGAGCGGAGAGTAAACAGAGGGAGGATAAATATATAATTTTAAAAAACAATGCTGTATATGATTTTATTTTATTTATTAAACCTTTAATAGTCACTTTCACTTAATGTTCATGAAAATCATTATAAAACTATATTCCTTCTAAGAATACGGTTTCACAATACCAAGACATAAAAATCAGAAGGAAACGCTTTAAACCATTATACTGATGAGAGTGACTAGCAAGAAGTTTAAAAAAAAAAAAAAAAAAAGAAGAAGTATATGTATTAAGGAGGAAACAGCTTTTACTTGTATTACAGATAGAAAATCATGCATTTTAAGAAATCAAATATGTCCTGAAACAAAGTAAAGCAAGAAATAACAATACTTTTTTTTCTATTCCTTTAAATTTTTATCTACAAAGAAAGGAAAGATGAAAACTACTTCTGAATATAAATCTAAAATGTATTTGTTTAAAAAAAATACAGTGACATAGGGAGATATTTATAAAGAGAAAAGAGATGATACAACCAATTTTAGTCTTATAACCTTATTTTAAATAATCATTGCTCAGATTTGAGAAAGTTTTGGGCCCTTACTCGCACTTGTCTTTCACTTTCTGCTTCCGATGGCATATTTAGAATATTGCAATATTTATTGACATTATTATTTCATTTTAAAAATAAAAATTACGGGTACTTACTGTTGGGTAGAGGCGAGTGAGCGTTTTTCTTATGTGCATGCATATTAATTATAGTGGTGCAGCATCTCTTCTCGTGACACATCCGTCATTCGAGTGTACAGAGATGGTGAAATACTATATCCTGTGTAATGGTCAATATGATTTGCTGTGTGCTCTTTTTATTCATTAATCATGTAAATAAAGTGTGTTGTTCTAAATCGATGGCTTCTTTACTCTAAATATGGTCCTCTGAACAGCAAATGGTAGCAGGTCTGTGGTTATTTCAAGGAGATCTGGATGAAATACCAAGTAGAAATCCAAACTGCCTTAGTGAAAGCCAGAAATGGAGAAGTGGAATATTCCCAAATTAACTGGTGAGAACTATTTTATCTAGGCATTGAAAATAAAAGCTGCCTTATCAATGAAAAGACTTGACTCAGTAATTTCAACCAAAAAACAGACTAGAAAGATGAAAGATTGTGGAATGAGAAAAACACTGATGCCGTAGCGTATATAAAACTTTCACTGTTTCATTTCACAATGTAAACACTTCACAACAACTGTAAAACACTTCGCAACAGGCGCTTCAGTTCTTCACAGAAGAGAATGCAAAAATACTTTGGGAGAAAATAAAATCAACATTTATGGGACAAGCCGAAAATCAAAAAATAGATACCAGTAATAAGTTAAAAAATTTAGAAATGAAGCTGCATGAGTCAGCTAATGATTATAACGCAAGAGCGAGATTAATAGCAACTAAGTGCCCATCACTAGGACTAGAAGTATCTCCTCAGGAATTGGTGTTTTACACAGTCCATGGACTTTGTGGAAAATTCTCTCGAATTAGGGATATTTTAAAAACACTGCATGAAAAAAAGCAATTGATGAAGCACTTGAAATACTCTGTGAGGAAGAATCTACACACAGTTCAACGAAAGAGAAACGACCTAATGGAACCAACGCTGAGGCGTTCATATCAAGGAGAAATAAAAACTATAACCCAAGAATTTGTTACATTTGTCAATGGCCTGGTCACATCGCGAAAGATTGCTATTGCTAATCCAAAAAGTGAGTTATCCAAAGGTAATAAAGAAAGAAAGAAGTCACAAACTACAAGTGTGAACACTTCATCTTGTTCTGATGAAAGAGAAAGTGATTTTGCTCTTCAACTTACGCATGGAAAAAATGACGAATATGACAAAATTTGGTTGCTGGATAGTGGTGCAACTGGCCATATGGCAAAAGACTCATTTTGGTTTCAGAATATTACATCAGAGGTGAGAGAAATTTACCAGGCAGGTAAACATTCAAAAATATTTTCATAGGGTATTGGTACTGTTAAATCAAAAACTATAAGTTCAAAGAATTCTAGTTCTGTTAATTTAACTATTAGTAATGTAAGTTACGAGGGCTATCCAGAAAGTAGATTACGTTTTGGAATAAAAAAATAAACAAAGTATAGGAAACAAATTTTATTATATACAGATGAAAGCCACACTCAAATACTACTTTTCTACATAGTCACCATACAAATTAAGGCATTTATCGTAGCGATGTACGAGCTTGGAAATTCCTTCGTCGAAAAATTCGGCCGCCTGCGCCTTCAACCACTTCGTTACCTCTTCTTGCCTTCCATCTTGCACAAAATTGTGGTAACCAAGCTTTTCGCTGATGATTTCGTTGCAACAAACTTCGCGAAATTTGTGGGGTGGAAAACTCAAAGAAAGTTCCGTTATTGTGAAATTTCGATTTTCACGGACTTTAGCATCGACTTTTTCGAGAAGTTCGGCGGTCACTATGCTGGGTCTCCCACTTCGATCTTCGTCGTGAACATTGGTTCGGCCATTTTGAAATCTTATGACCCACTGACGCACTCCACCTTCAGTGATAATGTTGTCCCCATACACTTCACGAAGCTGCCGATAGATTTCTATCGGTTTACAGTTTTTTGCAGTCAGAAAGAAACCTTATTACTGAGCGCACCTCGCAGCTCGCGGGATTTTCAATTAACGCAGACATTTCAAACCGTCACAGTATCTGAACGGAGCACAGCACGAACCTCTCACTAGCACGGCTAGATGCAGACTGAGCTGCGCAACGCTCTGACCCCAAGATGGCCGCGCTAGCCCCGCCCCTAGCGGACACAGACGGAAACGTAATCTACTTCCTGGATGGCCCTTGTATATTCCTGATTTAAGAAATAACTTATTGTCACTCACTGCATAAAGGATGTAAATTTGAATCAAGGAATAATTCTGTATTAGTTTTTAGTAGGTGTAATCAATTACTTCTTAAAGCATTAAGAATAACGATATAGGCTTGAAGTTAATTTAGAACCGTATTATAATTCTGAATGTCGCATTGCTAGTGATTGTACAGGTAATAATTATGAACTTTATGTGCCATTTAAATCCAAAATATATGGTTAAAATGTAAGAATACATTGATATTAATGATGTAAGTGATTTTAAGTTTGAAACTTGTCACATAAGTAAAATAACTAGAAAAAGTCACCCAAATATTAGCATTAATCAGAGTTCAGAAATTTTAGAATTCATTCGGATCTATGAGGCCCTGTTCAAACTGAATTAATTGGTGGGTTCTAAATATTTTATGATCTTGGTGGATGATTTTTATGAAATGTATTTTACTTATTTTCTTAAAAGTATTTTATGCATTTTCTAAATTTAAAGCTAAGTATGAAAATTCAACTGGCAAAAGAATTAAACGTTTGAGAACAGACGATGGTTTAGAATTTGTAAATGAACAATTAGATCTTGCTAATTCTGGTATTTTTCATGAAAAAACAATTCCATATAACAGTGAAAGTAATGGGAAAGCTGAACAGGTAGATTTCTTTTGGAAAAAGCAACAACATTACTACATGACAGTGAGCTTCCGGTAAAATTCTGGGCAGAAGCAAATAATTTTAGTATTCAAGTATCTAATTTAACACTCCGGAAAGGAAAAGAAAAAAATCCTATAGAAATTTGGACTGGTAAGAAACCCAAATTAAACTATCTAAAAAAAATTTGGATAGGTGGCATACTTTCACATTCCGAAAGTAATGCGAAACAAATTTGATATACCAGGGGAAAAGGGGGATAATGTTAGGCTATGCTAGAGAAAGAAAAAGATATCATATTTATGATATAGGAAAGCAATAAAATAATTGAAGAACGATCAGTTAAATTTATGAATCTTTAAAAGGTAGTAATTATATGGGAAAAAATAAACCATAGAAACTTGGGATATTGAAGAATTAAAAGGAATTTGATGGAAGGAAAACGAAGTAGATCAAAAAACAAAAAGTGAAAAACCACATCTCGAATTGGTTGTTAGGGGAAATACTCAAGCAAGTGAAAATGATTGACTCATTGAATTTCGAAATTGGCAACATGAGCTGCTGTAGTGGGGGGTGATGACAGGGGGAATAAAATCCAAACATCTGATAGCTATGAAAAAAGTAATAAATATGGAAATAAAATACCATTAAGATATTCACATCAGAAAGGCTCAAATCTAAACAACTATCATCAAATAAAAAAAAAAATCAGTTATGTTCCGGAAATCG